TTTAAGTTTTGAGATGTGTAACGTGATAGATCAGCCAGGTGAAGGTAAAATCCATGTAACTGAACTTCTTGTACTGGAATTACCATCTAGGACTGATAAAATTAACATATTTAATTCAAAACATGCATCTCAAAGATTTGGAGGGAGAAAAGTAGGACTTAATGTCTTCATCTCCTGGGATTTTTGTTTAAAAACCAAAATGAAACAAACACCAAAATCCTCCTGTCTAAAGATGTTTCCCTGTGATTTTAGTTCACTAACTACCAAGCTACTTATGTTTATCTTGCATGTTAGGTCTCTACTGTTAGTGAGCAGCTCTTATTTTCCATGAATCAAGGAAAGCACAGAATTGTTGGTCTAGAAATACTATTTATGTATTAAAATTTTTATTTAACATTTCATAGGTCAATTTTATCCTTAGTTTCCAGTTTACTTATTTTGAGGCCATACTTTCTGACACACTTAAAAGTGGTGTCACAAAGGCTTCTGCCAGAAAGAGTTCTGTGACCTTTAATGTATAGTGATTTGCTCCAGGCTTACAATACTGTTTAGGTTCAGATTCTCATCCACACATAGATGTCTTACACTACCTTATTATAGAATATTTTGTGTACTAAGGATGATTAATTTGATCCCTGCAAATTCCATATGTGACCAATTTACTTTTAAATACTTGATACTAGCAGGCTTTCTTTTTAAATATAAACATTTTAGTTACAGATGAAAAATAATGAGTCAGACTCATATTAGCTTAAATACTGATTTTTATTTTTTTTTTTTTATTTTTAGGGTGCAATTTTCTTGGAAGGAATAACAGTTAAATGTGTGACCCAGGTGACAACACAACCAAAGTTAGGAGGAATACAGCAAAAATGTCAGCAGTTCTGTGGATGGGAAGGGTATGAGAACATTTACAACTTGTTTGTTTATACTGTCTGGAAATAAGTGTTACGTTTCTAGTTTTGCAGAAGGAAGCAGCTCATTGTAAAAGTGAAAAAAGGTGACTATTTTTGGGTGGATTGTTTAAAACAAAAAGCAAGCCTCAAGAACACTCAGCAGTAAAACAGATGAGTGTCTTGCATTGTGCTATAAAAGGGAATGATCAGCTGTTGATATTAAGAAACAAGATTCTAGAACTGCTTTTCTGTTGAGATAAAAAAAATGTTTTCTGATGCATTGTTGCAAATTCCAGATGTAGTCTAGTACAGGTATTTGTGTAAAATTCAGTGCTTGCTCAAGCAGTAGACTTACTTATACAACTGCTATTACACTTCAGTCTTAAGGTGTAATACTCATATTTATAGTGAACTTGGATTTGTGTCCAATGTTAATGAGAATGTTGGATTTAATGAACTGATTCTGAACTCCTCCTTTCCAAAGTTGATGATCCAGGGAGATGCTCACAATGCTTCCTAGCTTGCTGATGCTCGTAGTTCTTATAGTGCTTGCAATTTTGAATTCAAATCTCTCTTCCTCCAAAGTTAAAACTTTGAAGTTCTAGATGATCTAGTGTTTTGTCATAAACACCAATTTCTTTATTCTTACCAGATAGGTATTTGGTTTCTGTTGCAAAATACCTTATTGGAGAAGATGTTCTAACTCAAAGTTAACCTTGCAGCAAGTCTGGTACAACGTGTGACTTCAGTCTAATGTAAAAAATGTATTGCCTTGTGCAACTATTTATTGCAGAACATTAATAAACATGGTTGTTTTTTTTTTTAGGTCTGGATTCCCTGGAGCACAGCCTGTTTCCATGGACAAGCAAAATATTAAATTTTTGGAGCAGAAGCCATACAAAGTTAGCTGGAAAGCAGACGGCACTCGGTAAGTTCATTTTAAATGAAAAAGAAACACCCAGTGAATTGGGTAAATGGTTTGTATTTTCTCAGGAAAGTGAATTTGCTTGTACAAAGGACAAAGTGTATTCTAACAACAAAACTGACTCCAGAGATTAATTTTTTTGCTGTCTCGGTACCCAACATTTGCTGAAGTTCATGGCCAAGTTTCTTTTCAGCAGCTGCTGTGCAGACTGACTGTTAAATGTATGTACATTTATGCTTCTTCATGACCCTTGCCTGTCTGTCAGCCAGGACTTGCCACCAAAGTCTTAGAATAACCTTAGATAACAGTAAGAGTTTGTTAAACTAAAGAATTTGTTTATAAAAGCTAAATTAAAACTTCTAGTTGATCCTTCAGAGCTGGTTAGTATTAGAAATTTCATAGGCTTTTTTTTATTTGTACTGTGATCCTTTGCAGTTCTGGTTAGCCAAAGAGTCAATAGTTTCATCTTCCCTTGCCAGTTCCCTTACATTCATTGTAGGGGTGACTTTTTTTTTTATAACAGGCTACAACCTAATTGAATTGGTGTGTTGAACCTCTTCAGCGTTGTTATTTCTGGTTTGAAATGCATCCTTGTATTTAATTTCTCGTGTTCTCATGTTAGCGTTTCAAAGTAGGAGAAACACCATACGTCATCAAATACAGAATGGCAAAACGTTTTTTTTTCTCTGATTGTAACTGGTTATAGATCAGTCTCAACTGCATGAAACTCAGTTGTCTAAACATGTGCATCTGCTATCATCAGGTATCCTTGTGTTGCTTTGTCTCGTATGAAAAAGCCATGTCATGCATGGTCTCTTGTCTCTACACCCAGCAGCTTGGATGAAATATAGAAAGTGTTTGCTGTTCATGTTGAAATAAAGCCCCAAATGTTAGGTGCTCCACTTCCTTATACTCTTGCAAAGAGGTGCTGTGACTCTTCATACAAACAAATCTTTCTTGAGTAAAATTCCAAATCTCCAAAATCATACTTACTTTCATAGGACTGAATATTTTTAACAGGTTGTTAAATTTGTGAAATTACAACCTTGAGGTTCTTGAGGTTTTGAAATCATCATCAATGGGGATTGATACTCTAACCTTCTGTTTTTCTTCAGTATTTCTGGTTTCAAAACTAAAATCAAGAATCCCAGATATTAATGGAAATGGTTTGTAACCTATGCTACTCATAGCATTCAGATCACAGTCTTCCCTTTTGTTGCAGGTGCATAATTTTGTTGCAGTGAGGTAATTAATAGTGTAGTTTCTTACATCATAGTCAATAGTGTCTCAGTAACAGAATTTAGATTGTGAGACATTCATTTCAATAGCTTGATTTTTTTTTTATTTCTAAAAGATGTTCTTTATATACAGTAGTATTTAAGCAATTGTAATCTGCACTAAGTGCAATGACTTTAGTTTTTATTTGCTTAGAGCAAATGAATAAATTTTTAACCTACTTTGACTTGATCAGAAAAAGCGCAATTCCAATGAGCGTAACACACGGTAAGAGGAGAACTGTTATGCTCATTTGTGCATGGTGCTTTAGACTAACAAGAGTTTAGTGTTCTACGTGTGTATAAGTTAGAAGGCATCAATTTTCTGGATGAGATGTGTGCTTTCAAAAAGAGGAGGTAAGAATTTTTATTTTCAGATTGGTGAAGTGAAAATACTGGGTTTGGGTATAGATATGGGCAAAAGAAGTTTTGTTTTAGCAGTGTAATGGAAAGCATTCTCCCTTCCGTATTCTGGGATAGCAAAATAAAGCTTTGATACTAAATCAACAAACAGTGTACGCTGTCTTCTAAAGTTTTTCCTGCGTTCTTTGTTTTGTTGGGCTTGCTATCTTGAGTAATAGAATGGGATATCCTAGATAATGAAAAGCCTGGAAAATACAGGGAATTGGATGTCTTATGAAAATTGCCAGGTGTCTCCACATGCAGTCAGTCAGGATTCAGCACAATTCAGGCAGACTAAGCTGTCTCCTATAAAAAGGACCCTTCAGGTGCCTCTCATATGTGGATTTTGTTCTTCAAGGGTTTATTAGCTTGGGCAGAGCATGGTGTGAAAATACAAAGTAAGCTTGCACTTGGTATGGCATCCAAGCATTAAGAAATGGGTGGAAATATTTGGCTTATTAACATTGACTGGTTGTATGCACAAGCACTTGGGTAATGCAATGCAGACGTTTTCAGCGTGTGAGGTTACAGAAACATGGTGTTGGGAGATCCAGACTTATTCTCGGAGCAGTACAGTGCATTCAAAAGCTGCAGAGCCTAAAGAAGTAAACTCAGCCAACTTAAACTGACCATGCAAAGAGCCAGATGGGAGTCTTTGCATTTATTATGCTTTTAACCCATATTTCAGATATACTGCCCATGAACTTGACTTGTAAAACTATGAAAATATGTTTGCAAAGTATTAATGTCCTGTGCAGCTCAGATACTGGTATTCCTTGCCTTTTTTCACAGCTTAGTCCTTCAGGAAGCCTTTGTTTTAGGCACTGGTTTACACTAGTATTTTAGTATGTATTAAAGACAGTTTATGGAAAAGTTTTCCTATAATTTAAGCCTATTGCTTCAAGAAATAGTAATAGCAGAAAATAATTCTGTTTTTAAAACAGTTTCTTTACAGAAGGCCGTTTGATATTAAAGGAGAAAATTGCTTCATCTGCAGTGTCTCTAGTGTGCATTGCCACTGAAGAATAATCTGTTCAAACTCATGGGTCATTAGCTAATACAGATTGGTATGTCTTAGAACAAATATTAACATGCTGTAAAATTACAATTGGTGCTATTCTATAGGGTTGTAATCTGGTTTTCCACATTTCTTCTTTTTGTTTATATTTTCAATACAAAGAGCCTGTCTTTGTCATATGTTACTAATTTGGAAAATGGAAGTCTTATGTACTATTCTTATTTTGTTACTCAAATGTACAGGATGCATACATTCTGAATATGAGAATAATTATCTGGAAAAGAGTAGTGCATCTGGAAGACTGCCTTTTGTGAAAGAAATAAAAGCGTAAATGTAGTTTCTTGTAGGAATTTTCAGTATTTTGGACATTCTGTCCTGTGTTTTTAGCGTTCTAGAATGGTGGCAAAACAGAATGCATGAAGACTAAAACTGAGGGAACTAAATACTTCTTTTAAATTTTCTCAAAACATAGTAACTTGCAGTTGATTATGGAGATACACAGAGTGATAGGTATATTCAGAGAAGAAAATGGTGCTACAAAGATCCAGTGTTAATGAAATTCAGCTGAAGGAATATTATGAAAGAGAGATTAAAGATGAAAACCTGAGCTATTATTTGGACATTTAGACACTGTACGTGATAGCTACCCTAATCAACAATGAAAAATTAGTATGGCAGTTTTTACATTGGACATGCTTCTAATTATTTTGTTGTTCTTCAATGATCCGGTCTCCATATGCAATTAAACAGATTTTCATTAATCATTCCGAATGCTTGTGTTGACACACATGAACCTTCCTGAATTTAATATTAAGACATCAGTTCGTGGAGATCCATTTATGGATCCCCTGTTTACTTTATCTGGAGATGAAACCACTGTCATCAAATATCTCTGAAGCTATTCTGTTAAGTGTGGTTCAGATGCAGCAGTCTAGGGTTTACCTATTACAATATGATTTTGTTTGTTTTTTCTCTCTCTCTCCTTAAAAAAAAGCACTGCTGTTTCATCAACCTGATTGGACTTAGAGAAAAGCAGGTACTTAAATAATAACTTTGTATTTGTCATGGTTTAACCTGGCAGGCAGCTAAAACAACCATACAGCCATTCGCTCACTCCCCCCCTCCCCACAGTGAGATGGGGGAGAGAAAAAAAGAAAAAAGGTAAAACTTGTGGGTTGAGATAAAGACAGTTTAATAGGACAGAAAAGGGAGAAGATTATTATGATAATAATACTAGAATATACAAAGCAAGTGATGCACAGCACAATTGCTCACCACCCAAAGCCGATGCTCAGCTAGTTCCAGAGCTGCGCCGCCTCCTGGCCAACCCGCCAGTTATATACGGAGCATGACATTATATGGTATGGAATATCCCTTTGGTCAGTTTGGGTCAGCTGTCCTGGCTGTGTCCCCTCCCAGCTTCTTGGATGCCCCCCACCTTCTTGTTGGCAGGGCAGTATGAGAAGCTGAAAAGTCCTTGACTGCTTGGCAACAGCTAATGCATCAGTGTGTTATCAACATTATTCTCATCCTAAATCCAAAACACAGCACTAACCAGCAGCTAGTAAGAAAATTAACTCTATCCCAGCCAAAACCAGGACAATATTATGCTTTCTCACTTAAATTAAGCACTCTTATCTCAGTTCACAGCAATATTTGCTCAACTTAGCAAAACTTCTTAAATTTCACTTTTGTTAAATATCTGCATTTTATTTCTGCAGCAGTAGTCTTCTCTAGAGGTTTCATGGCTGAACCGTTTATTTGAAGATTGTCTTAACTGACATGTAGTGTCAATAATTTCATTGAGGACGTTTACTTTTCTCCAAAGGTGCTTGCTATTCCTACATTTCAACTGGAGCTGAACTTTCACCCTTCTGGTTTAAGAGCTGTGTTGTTGGGGTGTGTTTCTTTGTTTTTCAGTGGTAGAACAGTGCATGTTTTCTTGCTTTCTTAGTATTGTTATATTTTTCTACTCGTAATTAAAAAAAAAAAAAAGTGTTTCCCTAAATGAAAGAGCATTATTTATCATCTTGCATTGACTAAATAATGTGAAATTGATTAGTTAAATTATTTGACAGTGATTCTATAAAACATTTTGGGGAAATTTATTGGAGTAGTATCTTACACATTTTTGTAAATGTGTGAGTTCTGAGACTGGTTTGGGTCAAAACTCCTCCTCCATTCTTCTGGAGCCCCAAGTTCAAAATCTTTTGACTTACCCTTGCTTTTAGTCTGTCCTGATTTGCAGAGTTTGTGTCTACACTGCGATCTTGCTTGTTCTGTGCCTGGTTTCTAGAACCCTTGTTCCA